CTTCTAATCCCTTTAGCATTTAAAGTGTCAGTATGCAATGCCTTTTCCGTGTGTCATGGGTTCCAACTTCCAAATATGTTGCCCTGCCATCAAGATACATTTCCTGCATGTCTTCTGTGAATGAAACAGTTCTGTAATATTTATTTAAGGGGTGCTCCAATATATTGTTAATCCATTGACCCATCTAGCTCCCACTGAAATGCAAAATTCATTCACTGCACTCCCTAGCATCCCTATAAAGCCATGCATGGAAAAAGTTAGCTTCTAAGGAAGGGGCCACTTGTTCCCAGGGCAGAAACACCCCAGAAGGCAGCCAAGGATTTTAGGGAGCTTTACTTGATTTAAAAAAAAATCCTGTCCAGGAATGAGTCAAATTTATATTTAGGTTGATTTCCAACACTCCTTTCCTGTGACTGTGAGAGAGCGATATGGTTTTCTGCTGTTAAGCCTCTTGCTAATCGAATGTTCTCATATTCGTGCAGTTGAATAAACATACATTTTTGGACAGTTCATGTCCTATAGGGGTTACATATTTTACTCAGGGTCTTAAAAGTGTCTCTCATGACTGTACATGCATTTTCTAAGTTTCCAGGTTTTGTAGAAGCCTAAGTTCATATTAAATAAGTTCCACACTTTTTTCCATCTTCATATAAGATATAATCTTTAAATTTACATCTAAAACCAGTTTAATTTGTTTAAGGGAAAACTATTACAAAATAAAATTCAATACCCTGTTTGCAAAAGTTTGTACACCCAAAAAATATTTATTTCATTGTATATAGACCATTTTGTCTGCATTTGTACCAATATGCCGCTTATCGAAGAAGGTAATTTTCCATTCCTATGTATCTCTTTTTACATAACATCTGAACCAATTATCTGTTGAAATATAGTTGAGACACATGGCAATCATTTTCAACATTTGAATTCTCTGTGCAGCAGTTTCTCAATACTTTTTCACATATAGTTAGAGCTGTTTGAACCTGCTCACATGAAAAGAACATGGCATCAATCCCAAACCTGCCAATTCTTCTTGTCTGGCAATGGCAAGTTAGACAAAACATAGGAGAAGATTCAGACCTTCTGGTAGTTTAAGAACTTCTGACAGCTCTGCCTTGCTCTCCAAGAGTAACTTCTCCATGCTCTTCAGAGTGGTAAATACAGCAAACCTCCTGGAAATGGCAGACATTAATGTTCCATCCTGGTAGAGGTGGAATAACTGTGAAACCTCGGTGTTGCTTTTTCCTCCCGCTCAGACACTCAGCCTAGCACCTTTAATGTTTACCCAAAATGAGCTGCTCAAGAAATTAATGTCATTGAGAAGTTCCGACTATTTCTTTTAGACAGAATCTAGTTAGCCAGCTCATTTATAACATGTAAGCTTTTATGATTCTTCATAAAATAATTGGAATTGAGAAGCGATAGGAAACAGAATCGAAACAAGAAATCAGAATCTTTCAGATTGAAAAGATGCCCAACCCGACATAAAAGCCACACATAGTTTGCATCTGAAAATCCAGAATTATTAAACCATGCACACATGAACCAGAAAGCAAAGCCCTATACATGCCGAAATTGAGCCATAGATGGTCAAAGCAAAGGACCACACAAGTGTAAATATGTATTTAAATGAGGCTGCAGTATGAGCAGCATTAGGCAATGGTCACATTAATATGTTTCAGTTTGTTGATGAATGTGGAGTAGAGTCTAAAAATATATTTGGTAGACACAGTAATCATGTGGGAATAAAAAGAAATATTGTGAGTGGCAAGATGAACACAATCTTATGTATCGAGTGGTTATCTAAACAATGCGATTCAAAACACCGGGAGATATTGCACTTAGAGTTGGATGCAACATTCAACACAAGGGCCCCCGAAGGTTTAACACTTCTATTTAGACAGGGATGTTGTGGTCTCGGTGCTTTGGTTTCTCCAATATTTGACCCAGTTTAGAAAATAGATCAAAGAGGATTGATCATATCAATCAGACTCCAGCCCTTCTAAAAGATGAAGGACCCCAAGGGCTTGTGTCCTTTTAGATGCGTATTTGCTTTTACAAACCTGGATCAAATAGTTAGGTACTTCACAGGACTCTTTTAAACTTTCTTTATTGTCATTGCACAAAAAACACAAGGTGAATCTTGACAACGAAATGTCGATTATTTGGCTACCAGTGTAACAGAACCATAGAAAGATGTTACTTGGATATAACCTAACTGAATATCTTTAGAACAGCTCCAAATGACACAAAACTCATATGGGTGAGTAGAACATGATGTAATAACGTAAAATCAAGGGGCCAATGTAAAAAAAACGGCATTCCCCTTCAAGGTCTACTGGACTAGGGAATGTCTGCCAGCATTCGTGAACAATCATTACAAACTGATTTCAAATAACCTTACAAAGGCTCACTCCATGTCTGAATCCAAGGTTCTCAGAGATCCGTTCATTACAAACAGATGTTCCAACATATTCTCATTATCAGTTCGTATGAAATCGTACGAAAAGTTATGCACAGTATTTCATTAGTTTTTGACGTTTTTCCTCGAAAAAACAGATCAGTGCGCATGTGCAGCCAGACAGACGAAAAAAGCAGATCCGCGGACGGACGTAAAACTGGGAAAAACGGTGCAATAATTACTTTTTGATGTCTCTAACTAGGTTGCTTGCTGTTTTGTATCTTAGGGTTAGGGTCAGGGTTAGGGTTAATTGTATGTTAAATTCTATGTTATTGAATGGTGCGTAAGATGCGCATGCACAAGGATATCTTGTCTCGAGGCACGAAAAAAACGTTTAAAACGTACGAAATTACTGTGCATAACTTTTCGTACGATTTCATACGAACTGATAATGAGAATACACTGGATGTTCTCACATTTCCTTCAAAAATATATGAGAAAAAAAAAAAACACCACAGATATTTTAAAGGTTTTTTTAAAAAAAAAAAGTAGTTTTAACCCTGGGCAGACAAATTTGATAAAAAAGAAGAGAAACATACAGGTGCTGGTCATAAAATTAGAATATCATGAAAAAGTAGATTGATTTCAGTAATTCCATTTAAAAAGTGAAACTTGTATATTATATTCATACATTACATACAAACTCATATATTTCAGATGTTTATTTTGTTTAATTTTGATGATTACAAATGACAACAAATGAAAATCTCAAATTCATCATATCAGAAAATTAGAATATTACTGAAGACCAATAAAAACAAAGGATTTATAGAAATGTTGGCCAACTGAAAAGTATGAACATGAAAAGTATGAGCATGTACAGCACTCAGTATTTAGTTGGGCCTCCTTTGGCCTGTATTACTGCAGCAATGCGGCGTGGCATGGAGTTGATCAGTCTGTGGCACTGCTCAGGTGTTATGATAGCCCAGGTTGCTCTAATAGTGGCTTTTAGCTCTTCTGAATTGTTGGGTCTGGTGTATTGCATCTTCTTCTTCACAATACCCCATAGATTTTCTATGGGGTTAAGGTCAGGAGAGTTTGCTGGCCAATTAAGAACAGGGATACCATGGTCCTTCAACCAGGTACTGGTAGCTTTGGCACTGTGTGCAGGTGCCAAGTCCTGTTGGAAAATGAAATCTGCATCTCCAAAAAGTTGGTCAGCTGCAGGAAGCATGAAGTGCTCTAAAACTTCCTGGTATGTGGCTGCGTTGACCCTGGACCTCAGAAAACACAATGGACCAACACCAGCAGATGACATGGCACCCCAAACCATCACTGACTGTGGAAACTTTACACTGGACTTCAAGCAACGTGGATGAAGTGCCTCTCTTCTTTCCCTCCAGACTCTGGGACCTTGATTTCCAAAGGAAATGCAACATTTACTTTCATCAGAGAACATGACTTTGGACCACTCACCAGCAGTCCAGTCCTGTTTCTCTTTAGCCCAGGCAAGACGCTTCTGACGCTGTCTGTGGTTCAAGAGTGGCTTGACACAAGGAATGCGACAGCAGAAACCCATGTCTTTCATACGTCTGTGTGTGGTGGTTCTTGAAGCACTCACTCCAGCTGCAGTCCACTCTTTGTGAATCTCCCCCACATTTTTGAATGGGTTTTGTTTCACAATCCTCTCCAGGGTGCGGTTATCTCTCTTGCTTGTACACTTTTTTCGACCACATCTTTTCCTTCCCTTCGCCTCTCTATTAATGTGCTTGGACACTGAGCTCTGTGAACAGCCAGCCTCTTTAGCGATGACCTTTTGTGTCTTGCCCTCCTTGTGCAAGGTGTCGATGGTCGTCTTTTGGACAACTGTCAAGTCAGCAGTCTTCCCCATGATTGTGTAGCCTATAGAACTAGACTGAAAGACCATTTAAAGGCTTTTGCAGGTGGTTTGAGTTAATTAGCTGATTAGAGTGTGGCACCAGGGGCCATCAATTTTGAACCTTTTCACAATATTCTAATTTTCTGATATGATGAATTTGAGATTTTCATTTGTTGTCATTTGTAATCATCAAAATTAAACAAAATAAACATCTGAAATATATGAGTTTGTATGTAATGTATGAATATAATATACAAGTTTCACTTTTTAAATGGAATTACTGAAATCAATCTACTTTTTCATGATATTCTAATTTTATGACCAGCACCTGTATTAATATTTCAGAAATCCTTCATTTGAGATGGGATTTTACTTGTAAAACCAGCTGTACAAATAAAGGCTGGTAGGAAAAGTGCTCCTTATAGTGTAGTGGAAATCAAAAAGCAAGAGAAGACCCCTTTTACAGTTTTTCTCAAATGCTAAAACACAAAAGCCAATCCTCTAAACCAAATGGCCAGTTGTCTAAACACATTTACTAAATCATTTTCCAATATCAGAAACACATTTTACATGAAGACACAATTCACAAAACACAATCCTCCATTCACATAAATCTTAACACATTTTTCCTTGCTAAAACACAAGTTGCAAAAGAACTCTGCTCATATTCTCAAATAAAAGCTCATGTGATGCAAAATGCTTGCCACAGTCAGTAATATTTGAACAAAATGAACACACCTGACGTCATTCATTACACACAACGACTCAAAATTGAAAATACCTCTTGCTAATGCTGTGACCACATGTATAAAAGCAAGTTCAGAGTGCACAGTTTGTTTGGAATCCCAAAAGATTCCAAACAAACACAATGGATGAAGGCAGAGTCAAGGGAAGAGGTAATCGCGTCAGAGGAGGGAGAAGAGCTGGCCAGGGAGGAAGAGGAGCAGGCCAGGGAGGAAGAGGAGCAGGCCATGGAGGAAGAGGAGCAGGCCATGGTGGAAGAGGAGCAGGCCATGGTGGAAGAGGAGCAGGCCAAGGAGGAAGAGGAGGAGGCCAACAAGGGAGAGAAGGTCCAGGAGGGAGAGCAAGACAACCTCGTACCATCATTACAGACGAGATGCGAGCAACATTCATTGACCATGTCATTGTCCATGGCATGACAATGGCTGAAGCAGGACTAAGAGTCCGTCCAAACCTGAGTAGGTTCACCGTGGCCACCATTATCAGGGCATTCAGACAACACAACAGGTATTGTACTCTATTGCTTTCTTTGTCACAATACAATTTTACAAGCCTGTGAAAGTAGTCTATTACAGTAGTTTCAAATCAGTTGTTACTGTATTGTAAAACATATCAATTGATGACACGTTTCTTTCTTTAGAGTTGAAAGAATGCCACATAGAGGTGGGCGGGTTGCCATATTTACAGCAGCACAAGAAACCCCCACTGTGGATATGGTTCGTGAGAAAAACCTCATCAGACTCCGGGAGATCAGAGACAAAGTCATTGACGATAATGTGAACTTTGAGGGCATTGATGATGTCAGCTTGGCCACAATACACCGAGTTCTCCGGCGCCAAAAGATGCGGATGAAACAAGTCTATAGGGTTCCCTTTGAGCGAAACTCTGCATGACACAAGGACCTACGTTACGAGTATGTGCAAGTAAGTATACATCCATGTTCACAGTACAGTTAGTAAACATACTGTGTTGCTCAGTGGCCTACATTACTTCTGGACAATACAGTACATAATATGCTACCTGATTGACTGTTGCTCTGAACACCTGTGCACTTTCACATTTTCACAGAGGATATTACAGTTGGACGTGATGGCCAGACCTCATGAGTACCTCTTCCTAGATGAGGCTGGCTTCAACCTGCACAAACGAAGGCAAAGAGGCCGTAACATCATTGGCCAAAGAGCCATCACTGAGGTTCCTGGCCAACGGGAGGTTATATTACTCTTTGTGCGGCCATGGGTTTGGAGGGGCTTGTCCACTGGCAGGCTGTCCTTGGGTCTTACAACACCTAACGTCTCCTAACCTTCCTAGAGGAGCTAAAAGATATCCTCCTAGACCGCCAACAACACCATCCTGGGCCCGAACATCCCATTTATGTGATCATTTGGGACAATGTACGCTTCCACACAACTAACCAAATCAGTGAGTGGTTCACCACCAACAGTAACCACTTTTTAAACGTCTGTCTGCTACCCTACTCCTCTTTCCTGAACCCTATAGATGAGTTCTTCTCATCGTGGAGATGGAAGGTTTATGACAGACAACCATACACTAGAGAAAACCTAAGGGCAATGGAGCTGGCATGTGTTGTCATCCCAGTGGAGAACTTCCAAGGATGGATCCGCCATTCCAGGGCGTTTTTCCCACGGTGCCTGGCAAGAGACAATATAGCCTGTGATGTGGATGAGGTGATGTGGCCTGATGCAGCTCAGCGACATGATGCCGCACAGTGATTGTGGTGTAAATACTGTAAAATGAATTAAAAAAACTTCACACCCTGATCATGTTTTCAAGAGTACTGTTGTGTGCAATAGATTCTGCTTTTGCAGTGAGTTGTGTTACAGTAGTGTACAGAATTTACTATACCCTTCATATGAAACTCACAAATCTAAATACCCAATCCTCTGCAGAACTCTAAGAAGATCCATAATTGTAAAGTTTCTAAAAATATGCATTGGCAGTAAAGAAACAAAGAACCTTCTCATAAATTGAGCATTGTGTTTTCAATTGTTTTGCTGTAGTGTGTAATGAGGGGTATAGTGTTTACATTTTTGAAAGCTTCGAGCTGCTCTTTTGGTGTGAAGTTTGAGTTTTGAAGGGAGAAGGTGTGGTTATGTTTATGTAGCTTTAGAAAAGGGTGTTGTGTTTAGACATTGAAGAACATGGATGAAACGTTTGTGAAATGTGTTTTAGCATTTGAGAAAAACTGTAAAACAAACCTCCAGAAAACTAACAGCTGTATTTTTATACAGTACAAACCTCAGATTTTTTTTTTTTTTTTCTAGGGTGGAGGTCAGAATGGGGTTGGGGGAGGTGGGGAGGGTGTGGGGATGTTGGTTAAGCTGTATATATTCACTGTATGATTGTACACTGTCATGAGGGAGCTCTGTATCAGAACAGTTTATAATGTTAATGACTCTCAAAGCAGTGTGAGACTATGGTTGGCAGGGAATCGTCACTCAAATTCAGAACTATTCCACAAAAAAGTCTGACCATTATTGATCCACATATACAACAGCATTTCACCTTTAGTGTCACATGCAGGACTGTTATAGCCTCTAAAATTTAGGGAGATTTTTCTTTAAATGCAACACAATCATTTAAAATTATGGTTACAATTACACTGCACTTCACATCAGTGGTATTGATCAAAGAGAAAGCTTGGTCAACAATTTTAATCAAAAGGGATAATTTAAGGTCATGAGAGTATTTGGAACTACACAAACGTTTGGGAACCTATACCGATTTGAAAAATTTTATTTTTTTTATTTTCCTTTTGGTTTGAAAAAGTGATTGAGTGCTTTGTTTTGTGCCAACTCAATGATTTAAGAAAACAGAATCCTTGTAATTATGTTGAATTTTGGCAATAGAAATAATGGTAGCAAATTATTAGTTGTATGACATATATGTCAAAGTCATAATTACTATTCTTCAAGTGATTTGTTTTTCATCTGTCAACAATTACAGCAGCAAGACTCGGTGTAAGAGTTTTGGGTAATAGAAACTTAAGGCAACAACATCTCAGCTGTCCACCAAAACTCTCAATTTTAGTAGATTCATGCATAAGAAAGATGAAAACATTAAGAATATGTTTAAAAGTTGCCTTTCCGTTCACATTTCAGTACGTTTTCTCATTAGTGTGCGAGAGGGGAAGTAATTCTTGGCCGGCATGTATTTCTCGTCATAACACCGCTGGTAAGTCTGACTTAGTGGAAAAATTGCAAATCTTTTTTTGAAAAGTAAGCTTGTATAAGTGATGCAAAAATCAACTTTGTGCAAGAAATGGGCTCCTGCATGCTCTCATACACGTTTAAAGGAATAGTACACCCAAAACATGATTAGCCTTCATTTTCTACTCATCCCCATGCTGAACAACACTCTGGAGTACTTTTTTGATATCTCAAATGCATCTGGAGATCTGGGAGGCTTCTTGCTGTTTGCTGACATTCAAATAATGGAGGTCTATGGTGCCCGAGACAGAAAGGTCCATAAAAGTCCACAAAAAACGTGTCAATATTCCTCCATACTGCTCGTCCAATGTATTCCAAGTGTCCTGAGTGGGTAGCATCCAGAATTTACTCGAAACGAAGTTATTTAGAATGTTTTTAGAGCATAAACAGTAGTGTATAGGATTTCCTGAAAGCGCGCGCCTGGACGTTCCTGACGCTACGGCAGAGATGGCAAAAGTACTCACTTTCCGTACTTGAGTAAAAGTACAGATACTTGTGTTAAAAAATACTCTGGTAAAAGTGGAAGTACTGATTAAACTTCTTTACTCAAGTAAAAGTAACAAAGTACACGCTTGTAAATTTACTTAAAGTATAAAAGTAAAAGTAGAAACCACTTTTTTCATGCCGTTGCCTACATTTTAAATGGATGTCTGCCAATAGGACTAGATCTCCGTTGTGTTCATTTTCAATCATCTCGTCGTCCATGCTACTATGCTAACGCCACCGCCACCAAGCTGCAATGATTTGCCGCCAATGAATACCGCCGAATCTGTCGATTCATCTTGTAGTGGTGCGTCAAATGCAACGTAGATTCCCATCCAATTAGATTAAATTTGGTATTGATGACGTGAAAAATAATAACGGTAACTCCATTGAAATTATTCAAAACTAAAGTAACGAGCCAATTTTTTAAAATGTAAGGAGTAGAAAGTACAGATATTTGTGTAAAAATGTAAGGAGTAGAAGTAAAAAGTCGCCATAAAAATAAGTAGTAAAGTAAAGTAAAAATATCAGAAAAATCTACTTGAGTACAGTAACGAAGTATTTGTACTTTGTTACTTCCCATCTCTGCGCTACGGAAACCGCGGCAGACCAAACCGGATGAAAGTGCGCATTCAGCTCGGCAAAGAACTCATGCTCTTCCTCAACACTGAAGTCTTCAGACATTTTTCATTCGTTGTTTCTTTCTTTGCACAGGTAAACAGCACATTTCTTCTTCTACGCTTGCATTATTGGCAGAGCAGACGCTGAATGCGCACTTTCATCTGGTTTGGTCTGCCAGCTTCCGTAGCGTCGTGAACGTGCAGGTGCGCGCTTTCAGGAAATCCTATACACTACTGTTTATGCTCTAAAAACATTCTAAATGACTTCGTTTCGAGTAAATTCTGGATGCTACCCACTCAGGACACTTGGAATACATTGGACGAGCAGTATGGAGGAATATTGACACGTTTTTTGTGGACTTTTATGGACCTTTCTGTCTCGGGCACCATAGACCTCCATTATTTGAATGTCAGCAGACAGCAAGAAGCCTCCCAGATCTCCAGATGCATTTGAGATATCAAAAAGTACTCCAGAGTGTTGTTCAGCATGGGGGTGAGTAGAAAATGAGGGCTAATCATGTTTTGGGTGTACTATTCCTTTAATAGGTTTCCCTCTCAGGAGCGGGTATAGGGTTGTGCATGTGCATGTGAGTTTCAGGTCTTTTAAAAAATTCCCAAAAATTAACTATGCCTAAGTATACCTACAAGTCAGAATTCTTCCAAAAGGACTGAAGGATCATAAATACTCAAACCAGCACCACCAGTTTTATTTTTAACACATTCATAAACTCCTCATTATCGTGTTTTCATGCATGCAGATTTCTGGAATGGTATTTTAGGTGGATACAATTTCCTGTACTTCCAGCTCGACCCTTTGAAAATTCAACTAGTATTTTACAAATAAAGCCCACAATTATGTGAAAAAATGCATTAATTAGTTGTAAGAGAAATGTCCTTTTCTTGTAAATTTGTTTGACCAGTGTCCTTATTGTTTTCTGTAATAAACATTTCATTAAGATATTCATTTTAAACTTGTGATATCCTACATGCAATGGATAAGTTTGTTGATAGCACTTGCACATCGAAGGCATTGTCTTACCCATCTCCACATTCCATAAAAGTTACAGAAATGAAGCACACTACAATCTTGATTTATTAGCCTTGTTCGTTAGGGTTCAGTACTATGCTGACACATTTCAAGTTTTTAAAATTCAGCATGCCATGTAAAGCTCCATCCATTATTTTTCTCCTGGAGAAGTGACAAAATCTCATCTCAAGCTAAACTCTTCTTCAGAATGAACCATTCTGCTCTTTTGTCCCTTTATGAAGAGTCTAATCCTAGCAGTCTGCATCCGAAAAGTTAAGGACACAACACTACAAAGAGGAGAAAGACTAATCCAATAACCTCAGCTGAACTTTTTTCATCATCAGAATGCTGGAAGCTTTGATGCACTGACTATCAGCTACTGAGCAGAGACACATGTTTGTCTTTACAAAAAGAAAAAAAAAGGGGCTGAGCCTGAGTGGATAAGTCATAAATTGTGTGCAGCAGGGGTTGTGACTGTGTTGAATGTGAGCATACATTTGAATGGAGTTTGGTATATTTGTGGATGCTGCTTGATAAGAAATTTTATGAATGAGACTTTATATTAGACAGACGCACGGACGGACATACGGATGGACAGGCAGATAGGAGTGTTTGACTGTCTGACAAGGAGAAACCTGGAAGGACTATCCAAGCCTTGAACTATCTGTGTGACTGTGTTTTGTTCTGCCTCTGTTTATCTGTGAATGTATCCCCCCTGTGGAGCTTTCTGCCTTGTGATTTGTGTGATTCTTGATCCTCTGCTAACAAACTGCACCCTCTTGGAAAGTCAACTCGGCAGCTGCATCACCTCTCACCCAGTCTCCCATTTTTCCACCTTTTTTTCAGTAGCACTCACCAGCATTTATGGAGGCAATCAATAACCTCACAGTTGTCTCCATGTTTAACTATGTTTTAGTGACTAGTGGAGCAGCATCACACCTCACAAAAGTGGAGTTCAGCTTGAGGTCATCAAAGAACACTTTAAAATACATTTAGGTTGTTTTTGTTTGATGCCTTATATTAATATGTACACTTTATACACCACCTTGAGGGGAAAATACAATTAGAAATTTTTGAAGAATATTTGTCTTTTTTTGGTAAAAGAAATTCTGCTTACTTTTGACACTTT